ATTTCTCATTGAGTATAGTAAGATTCAACAAATTATTCCTCACAATCAGAAAGCTAGCGAATTTGTTACCAGTTTTTTTTGAAAACCTTTAATACTCAAGTGTCTATAGGTGTTAAAATTTTAACAATTTTTGTTGATACTAGAATATGTAAATATGCAGAAAGAAAAGCTTAAAATGTTGTCTTTTTCACCATTGATTTTTTTTGTTTGGAGGAGGAGTACGGGGAATGAATAGGAATAAAAAGGGAATAGTTTTGAAAAATATAATAACTACCTAAAATTATAATTTTGCTCATCGCCTAGCTTTCACCACTCCCAAGTTTATCCCTATTATTAACAGATAACAATCAACATATATCAATTTATAGGATTTCTCATATGCATACATATTTAGGCCTTTATTGTAACAATCTAATATAATAAAGCACTTCAAGAGACCTAAATCTGTGGTACCTAAAACAATCGGAAATAAAAGGTAAAAACCACTATTCATAAAGATTATGCTGGTAACTATTTAATTATTATCTTGGGTATACTGAGATTATATGAATAATAGGATAGTCTGTAGTGACCTCTGTTAACAGGCGCCAGGTTTTTTAGACGAAAAACCATAGACAAAAGTCCTCTCATACACACCCAGACCTTTAGTGCACGTGAAATACTATTTTTAATACTTAAGAAATTTAACTTACAGTTAAAAATCACATAATGACTACCCTTGCTTTATCTTGTCAAGCTTTCCAGTGTCTAGATTGAATTTTTATACTTATTGGGGTGCACTGCATCCCTATAAAGGTTCATCATAGTAGTCGCCAGCAGCTTCCCTATCTGATATACAGGGAAACAACCAAAACAGAAAGGTTTGCTTATAGTAGCAGCAATAATAGCTAACTATTATTCTATACTAAGTATGGAACTACATAGTGCCATATTTGTATTTCCTCCACACTGTGAGGTGTAGATACTATTTTGTCTTTTTTTTTTTTCTCTCTATTTCATTTTTACAGATGAGGACATTGAGATTTAAAATACTAAGTATTTTGACTAAAGTCTCTGACTCTAGGGCTCACACACCTATAGTCTCTATGTTAGTTATCCTGCCTCTTTGAGATAGCGTAATGATATTAGTTCAAAGCCCTCTACAATACAGCTCACTTAAAATACAACCTTAATGTCATTGAAATATGTTGATGACTGGGAAAGGAAGCCCCTTTGCATTCTGCCTCAAAAATATGTATGCTGAATAAATTGGAGAGAAGATCCAGACTTTTGAGTTCTTGAAAAGCCTAAACACTGAAATAGTTTGTTTTACTGAAAACCATTTTATTTTTCTGGCTGCTAGTATTCTGCTCTTCTCATTCTAAATTTTTTCAAGGTCTCTGTGGAACACCTTTGCCTTAAAATTCCTTACTTTTCCTCCACTATCTTCACCGTTCCTTCATTTTAACAACTCACTCCTGTGGCCATAGCTTGGATTATGCCCTTCTGAACTTCATTTTAAACTATAGTGGTCATTCTCTCTAACTTTAATTTCCACCTTTCTTCCTTTCTCTTGCCTCTTAATCTTCTTAGACCTCATCAAGACTTCTGGTCTTTTTATCAGTCTTCCCATTTTCTCAGTTTTTTCTGTTCTCTTTTGACCTCATACAACCCCAGTTCTATTTCTAGAACTACTCTCACTGCATCCTTATCCAACTGTTCCCTGTCTCTTTGTTTCTTTTGCCCTGCAAATGCCCTACACACTCCCTTGCCCCATAGACTCTTGATCCCATAATCTTAACACCAAGTTAAAGAGTATATTTTGCATTTGTGGCACAATTGATTTTTATTCCTCAGCAAGGCCCAATAGTATATATTCTACTTTATCATGAAAATAGAGGTTTATAGCCTCCTGTGGTTTTTTTTCTTTGCTTCACTGAATTCTTCAGGATCTCCTTCCTCTTTATTCCTTAGTTTCTAAGTAGAATTAGAATTAGAAAATAAAAATTAGGAAAACACTTTGAATTCCATCACTTAATATATTATCAGCCTCCTATTATGATTAAAAACAGCACATCAACAACATATAAATTCTGGTGGTTTCTGTTACTTATTTAAATAAAGCAAAAATCCTTACTCACAGATGTTTTTAGCTTACTTTAGAAATTTGAGGACCAGTGAAGCATGAGGTAACTCAAATGAATATTTAGTAACATTCACTTTGAGAAGCCAGCAGCTTAGTTAGTGAGCCAACTAACCATTCTGCTAGAATCTTTGGTTTGGAAAATAGCATAGGTAGAAATACGTTCATGAGGGGAAAAAAAGGACATTTTTATCCTCTTAATTTTCATTCTGTCTTAAATCACTTTTTATATATGAAATGTTATAATTATCTTAAGTACTAAGGGAATGCCTACAGATTATTTATTATCAAGATGTTTTCATTTTGGATAGTGCTATCCAAAAAGATTGGACATTTAAAACATGTGAACTCCTACACAACAAAGTGGGAGAAATAATGATATTTATATGTTAATTCCATGAGGCCCTACATTTAACTCTATTCCCTCTGGCCATATACCAGGTGGAATAAAGCAAGGACTCCACTATTAAAAATATCAAATCAGATAGTTCCAGCTGGGGTTTTCTAATCATTTAAAAGGCAAAATATGAGGTCACTTTTAATATCTTAAGTAGATAACTATCTTAGCATTTATTTTAGATATTAAATCTGAGGTTATCTTTACCTTATTGAATAGAATGTACCAATAGCAGTTTCTAGCTTTTGAGTATTTTCCATAAGAGCAACATTGGAGCCTAATATGGAGTCAGTTGTTTTTCCCAAATCTCTTTCCTAGGAATATCCGATTCATCAGTGCACTAATCTGAAGAGTTGACTTAGCAATTGGATTTAAGTGACACAGGACTCTTCAACACATTTTTTTTAATCAATTTGTCGAAAAGATCAATTTTCTCATGGTCGAATGCATATAAAAATGAAGTATCCACATAAGTTACATAGGAAGGTTGACACATTTCATTCCCTAGAGATATTTAAGAACAGGTCCTTAATTGTGTATTGAAAATGGTTTGAGGTCCTTAAATGGAATTTGTCTAGAAACAGGAAGGTGGGATACATATCGAAGCCTGTGTTTCTGGATTCCCCATCTTATGTTGACATTAATTTTCTAATATTTAGTGGCTGGTGTTTAAGTTCAGGCAAGAAGTCATCCCTTTTCTTTTTTTTTTTTTTAATTATTTTTATTTAGGGCCATTTTAAAGTAATGAACAGAGTTAGTTATGTTAGTCTGTGTTAGTTATGGCTGAATCTTGTAAAGACAAATTTTTTTGAAGGCACCCCTGGAAGCCTTTTTGTACTGACTGCTACTAAGGTCTACAGTGAATATAAATGCAAGTTTTTGCAGTTTAAAGCTAACGTTATGGTGACTACTTTAAAGGGCTGCAGTTAATTTAAATAACAGTTGTTAAAATTAAAGATTACAGTTGTTAAAATTAAAGATTACATTTTGCTATTTGCTCTTATGTTACACCCCTCCCTCCCAGCATAGAGATGTTTGGATTCTTTAAAAGAAAAAAGGCTTTTTCAGACTATTATTTGTATACATATGAATTTTGTTATATTTTTCTTCATATTAGTCATTGTGGTTAAGTGATTTATTGGCAGCTGATGAGTCACAAGTATGTTTCTCATTTTCTAATGAGTCACCTAGCTGCCTACAAGTTTATTTATTTTCTTTCTTTTTTAGATCTTTCACCTAAAAGTAGGTATTTTACTTATTTGAGAGGTTAAAATTTCAGTTTGCTACATTAACTTTTAAAACTATAAGATTCTAGGTAGAGACTTGAACCGTAAGAGATTAATACAAAAGTTAGCTGGAGTTTATCACATAGCAGATAAACAGGGAGTCCAAGATAGATTTTCATAATATATGTTTGCCATTTCTATTACTCTACCTGCCCAGGAACTCTGCTCTCTCCCAATTGTCACTCTTGCATTTTTCTTCCTTCTTTCTTTTTTTCACCTCACTCTGCAGCCTCCAGTTACCACCTGAGAGTTTTAATTGATAGTTTTACATGGGAAATTACCTTTGGCCAGTTTAGTTGCCATGGTGCTGACATCACTTTCCAAGACTTGAAAGTTAAATCATATCCTTTTCCACAAATATATTGTGATACATTCTATCAGTACAAGAATGTACACAAAAGTGAAACTGGTACATTTTGTATGGGAACTACCTTTTTAGATTACACCCTTTCTTTCTTGGTTACATACTAGAAATCAAAAAATCAGTTGGTGAGTTTAATAAGCTACTTCATAAATTTTATATTTCAGAATTTGAGTGTCTTTTGTTCAGAATTCAAGTTTGTTTTAGAATTAAACTGCCCAGAAAATGTGTTTATTCTACTCTTAGTGTATATTAAGCTTCATATAGATGTTCTTAAATGAGATTACACAATCCAATAGGCTATCTGCCATAAATCCAGTCAATGACAGTGTGTACTCAAACTGTGAGCAGTGAGGATTTAATTGCAGCAACCTAATATCCTCTTATTACCTTGAAATCTTTTCAGTTGACCTTCGTCTATTATTTAGTTCCATTACATACCAGTAATTGCATTTATTGAAGCCAGTGTTTCTTGTTTTAGGAAATGCTGATCTTAGTAAATTTCAACTATAGGGAGGGAAATGTTCTTTAATAAATAATTGAAAGACTTTTCCTACTTTTCACAATTCAGTGCTGGTCCTGTTGCCTTTTACGTCCAGAGTATTTTATAAATGGTAACTAAATTACGGCATCTAGAAATCATCTTTTCAAGAAATCTCAGAAGGTATGCTACATAATAGCTTATTGTAAGTAGGTTAAATAGACTGGCTTTATCTCAAGTGGCTTACTCTATTAAAGAAGACTTTAATATATTCAGCTTTACTGTTGAAACACCAAATGAGTTCTGACACCTCTGATGAGATGATTAAAGTTGGGAATTTTTTCTTTTGACAGCATCAACAAAGAGAGCATCATAGATGTAGAAGGTGTTGTGAGAAAAGTGAATCAGAAAATTGGAAGCTGTACGCAGCAAGATGTAGAGCTACATGTTCAAAAGGTAACTTTTTTCAAAATATAAAATTGTGTATAAAAATAGTTTTCAGTAGTTCTTATAACTATACGTTAAATCTGTTCTTAATAATTAGAGTTGCTATAAAATATTGAGATTTATATTACCAAATCAATTAGCTTTTGTTATATAACAAACCACCTCAATACTTAGTGACTTCAAACAACAAACATTTATTTATTTGCTCACTATTCTGTGCTTTGGGCATATAGGGTTGGCCCATCTGGAATGGCTCATCTGTTCCATGTGTCATTGACTAGGCTCACTGGTATTTCTTGGACATCTTTTCCAGTGGCCTCTCTTCATCCAGCAGGCCAGCCCAGGCTTGTTGACATGGTGCCAGATTGGTTCCAAAAGCAAGAGAGGGAAGCCTTAGTGTGCAAAAACTTTTCAAGCTTCTCTTGTGTCGCATTTGCTAAATATTCCATTGGTCAAAGCAAGTCACATGGCAAAATTCAAATTTGACAGGTGGAAAAGTAGATTCTACCTCTTAATGGGAGGAGAGGCAGCATCACTGGAAAAGGACATGTATACAGGAGGAAGAGGAATTATTGCAGCCATTTTTGCAATCTACTACAGTCACGTAGGGAAAAATATGAAACACATCAAAAAAGCTTTATTCAATATCATGAAACTATTTTACTGTGAACTTTCTTATAATGATTTACTTCTAAATGTTGATTAATTATACTAATTCTTAATCATTGTATTTCCTTATAATCATTTTATTTCTGATATTTTACAGTTTTAAAAAAAATCAAAAGAAACAGTATTGGTCTTGTATTCCAACAATAACTTCTTTTCATACAAGATTTATCCCACATCTATTTTCTTCTCAGACATAAAAACTAGAAGTGCTCATTTTCATTGACTTTCAAAATACTGTAAGCGAATTCACATATATTTAGTACTATTGAAATGACCCTACAGTTTTGAACCTGCAGTTCTCAGATCCAAGCCTAGTTTGTATCACAAAATGCATCATTAAATTTCTCTTAAGCAGTCTGCCTGATTGCTCTATCTTACATATGCTTACATACATGCACACACACCCTGTGAGCATATGTAGGATAGAGCAGTCAGGCAGACTGACAGACAGATGCAGAAAGATAGACTCATATGTGCATGCTTATTTGGGAGTAAGGTTATTTAACTGGAATTGTCATAGAACTCTTCAAGAGTTAGAATATCTTGTATTTTTTACTGACCTAACTTGCCAAATTACTTTGTTCTCTTTGTGCAAATTTCATTTTAAACCAACTCCACCAGGAAAGTCTGTAACCTGGTAAACACAAACTAACCTAAGGATATGTTGACCAAGAAAAACAACCCCCTGTCTTACAAGCAGCATATCTTTTTCAAAATTTTAGTGAATAGAGCAAATAAATGTACTTCTAAAATATTCTAATTATCTAGCATTTAATATAACATTAATAAATGTTAATAATAAATATAAAGCCTAAAGACATTACAGACCAATTTTGCCTCAGTAAAAATAATTGTAAAGCATCTCACAAACAATAAATATTGTATACTAAATAGAATCTTATAATAAGCAGTGACTCTCTTATAATAAGCAATGACTCTCTATATTTATTTATTTATTCAGTCAGCAGTTACTGAGTATATACATTGTGCTAAGCACTATGTGATGTTCTGGGGATCAAAGTGCTCACAACCTAATGAAGGAGATGATGAATTTGTACTAGTTATAAAAACAAAAGAGGTAGTTTCCCAGTTCTCCAACTTTGCTTTGGAGATCGAGTTTCCGTTAACTGACCAAAGCGAGAAACACTACAACTTGGATGTAGGGGGTGGTGACCAATAAATCTGTTTTACTATGAGGAGGACTCATAGTCAAATAGTATCCTAGTACTTATAGTAAAAGTATCCTCCTGATACTTTTTCTTTATGACCTAACTGCTTTATTGTACAAAAAGGCGCAATTAGTGTGAGTGAATATTGAGGGATTTTAACACCAAAAAAGAATACCCTCTATGGCAGCTCCCACCCAGGAGAGCAGCAGAAAATGAGGTATAATATGTTTGATGAAAGAAGACAATGAAGGGATGTTTGGAAAAAGAATGAGAAAAGGAAGAAGTACAGCTGAGTTGGGCTGACTTTGGTTCTAGTGGTAGAAAAAGCTAAATGCTGCTAACAGTAAACCAATTTGTTAATGACCCCTTGAACCTTCAAATGAACGATGTTCTTATATTCATTACCACAAAACTCATTTTACAGAGTAGAATATTGAAGCTCTGAGGTTAAGTGATTTGTCTAACAATAGCTTTTATGTGACAAAGTGAGGCCTTAAACCCAGACTCCTCAACTCCAGTTATTACTTATTTATTCTCATTTGACTATTTCACCAACCCAGGGAGGTAGACAAGAAATATTATCCCTGTGTTATAGGTGAAAAAAAATATGTACCATCTTGTTTGATTTTAGCAAGTAGTTTCAGTTAAAAAGGTATGCAAACATTGCTTCATATTTAAGTCAACTGTAGTTTTTTTAAACAAGAGATAACAGGTTTTGCGTGTTTTGTGATATTTTTGGTAATCTCTCACTTTCAGATTTATGTGATCAGTTTGGCTGAACCCCGTTTGCCCTTGCAGTTGGATGATGCTGTTCGGCCTGAGGTGGAAGGAGAAGAGGTACAAATTATACTTTTGAAATACTATGCTTCCTCTGTATGTTCGGTTTGCAAAACATTGAAAACTTGATGCCCTGCTTTTATATGAAGGGTACCTATTGATTTGAGCTTTATTTTTATTTAAATGTACTCTTACATCAACTATTCTCAAACTTTTTGGTCTACAAATTCCTTTACACTCTTAAAAATAATTGACCCACAAGCTTTTGTTTTTATAGGTATATCTATCAATATTTTACAGTATTCGAAGTTAAAATAAAAATGTTAATATTTATTAAAAGTAACAATATTATAAATATATCTATAAATCTTTGTAATGTCTGGCTTAATAGACAACAGTTATATTCTCATATCTGCCTCTGCATTCATTCTGTTATGATAGCACACATCATGAAGCCTTTGGAAGACTCCTCAGTATAGTCAGGAGAAAATGAGAATAAAAAGGTATTATGAAGAACAGATTTGACTTCATGCACTGCCTGAAAGTGTCTCACTGATGCCCGGAACATACAATGAGAACTACTACTCTATCAGCTTTTATCTGTTCCTTCAGTCTTTTACTAGCTGATAAAATCCAGGAATCAATAAAAGTGCAGATGGTTAATTCTTCTGATGCTCCAATAATGAGGCGAGGCTTTTGGAGATGGAGAGTGGGAGGTGGAAAGAAAGCATTACTCCCTGTTCATTCTCATTTCTCTTCTTTCCATCTCTCTCTCTCTTTTAACAGTAATGTCTCTCTAGCCCTGCTTCTTGTTCCTCGAATCCCTCATTTTTGGGTTTAATATTAATGCACATAAACACACCTATTGTCACTTAAAAGTAAACATAGCTCCTAAAAAGCTATGTTTTTCGTGTTCTGAAAAAAAATTAGTAAAATCTTTTTTCATCTTTTTTTTAGGAAGGAAGAGCTACTGTTAACCAGGATACAAGATTAGACAACAGAGTCATTGATCTTAGGGTAGGCCTCATTTATTTATTAAGTGACCTGGTTATGCCAAAATCAAGGAGGGCAAGGATAACATACCTGTCTTGGGTTTATAGAACTAATTGACATTTGCACATAGGTAAGTATGATAATACGAGAAACAACTTTCCGACTGACCTTTCCCCTAAAAAGAATTGCTATCAGTAAAGACAGTTGAGTAATAGTTCACAGAATATTGACTTGCTTCGCTTTAAAATGAGAAAGGAACATGAATCCAGAAAGTGGACTTGCTTCCAGGTGATACCTGTTTTAGACAAGGTAGTCAGCAAATGGAAACATAACCATTAATATCCCTACAAAATTCTGAAAGAAATTATATGCACATTTAGAACAACTGGGTGAAGATTAGTAATTAATGCCTCAATCCTTTGAATTCGATCTGAACACAGAATTAACAATAAAGAAGTAGTTGGCCCTGGAGGTTTATATAGTAATCTCACAGGTCTTCTCTTTCCCTTTCTGGCTTGGTTGCAAGTGAAAGAGTTCAGTGGTTTCATCATTGTAGTAAAACCAAAGTCATCTTTCTTTCTTAATGTTTTGACCACATCTTCCTCCTTTACGTAACATATTTTACCTAAAACTTAAAGTCTTTGTCACCTTATGAGTTCTTTCCAACTTTTCTGTAATCATACAGGTCTGCCTTTTCATATATACGCATATGTTTCCCCTGATTATTTGCTTTTTGTCTGCTGGTACCTTTTCCATATTAATTTGTAGTATATAGAAAAGGCTAGCAATCAAAAGTCCTCTTGGTACTCCTTAGAAACCTAAACCTCAGGGTTCATAATTTTGGCCACAGCAATTAGACATCATGCTATATTTGTCTGTGCTGTTTGTTCACACAAGTTATTGGTTATGCTTCTAGAATTTGGCCCAAAAAGTATTTTTCTTTGGCCCACATCATTTTTTTTTTTAATTTAAATTCCTTGCCACCATTGAAAAAAAAGGGAGGGGAGGGTACATTAGATAGACATGGCTTTCTTTAAAAAGGTTGGAGATGAATCTGGCAATTTTGGGGCCACATGGCAACATCAGCTAGCGCTCTAGATGGGGCATTATGTCCTTTAAACCTTACAAATTGATTTAATTGTATTCTGTTATTTTATAGACATCAACTAGTCAGGCAGTCTTTCGTCTCCAGTCTGGCATCTGCCATCTTTTCCGAGAAACTTTAATTAACAAGGGTTTTGTGGAGATCCAGACTCCTAAAATTATCTCAGGTATGCTTTAAGATATTTCTCTTGTTCTTAAGTTGATTAATGTTAGCTTTTTATTTTATTTTTTTTTTTAATTTGAGAATCCTAAATATCCCTTAAGGTTTATTGCTATGAGACTATTTATTTTGAAGACTATGCTGTATAGCAGCAGTCGCATATCACTAATGTCCCCTTATTTCAGGAATCATTATGTGATAAGAATTATAAAATGAAGCAGTAACACACAAAACAAAATTGTTGTTATATAAGTTGCACCAGAAACTTTCATTGTGTAGGTTTCTTTCTAAATTGGTATTATAATTTTGTTTCGTATAAACTGCATTGTAAAATTAATACTAAATATTACAGATGGTAAAAATCTTAATTCTCATTCTTATATGAGAACCTTATCTAAATCATTTTACCTTTTTTAGAGTTGCTTAAATAACACTAAAATGTGTTATAAATGTCATTTAGTTATAAATAAAAAATGGAACATTGCATTCTTGATAATTAGAAAAATTATTAAGAATTTCTTTTTTCTTTTTAAAAATAATTCACAATTAAGTAGCTTTAATAGATTTGAAATCAATGCAGAAAGGAAGCATATATATCCAAAGAAGTAAAATGAAGGTCTAGCAAATCTCTCCTAAATATAAACTGTTGAGAATCAGATATAGGAATTATATAGACTATGGTTTCTCTGCAATTCTTGATTTTCCAGGTTGTTGTTGTTGTTGTTGTTGTTTAGTGAAGTACTTGAATCAAAAGTATAAACTTGTTTTTAACAAGTTTGCATTGATAAGCTTATAATTGATTATAACAACATAAATGTTTATGTTTCAGCTGCCAGTGAAGGGGGAGCCAATGTATTTACTGTGTCGTATTTTAAAAATAATGCATATCTGGCTCAGTCCCCCCAGCTGTACAAGCAAATGTGTATTTGTGCTGATTTTGAGAAGGTTTTCTGTATTGGACCAGGTAAGGTTTTGGCAGTTATAGTTCTCTCAAAATTCATTAATTGGACCATAGTTAGGGTTTTAGAAACACATTTTACATAGAGACAGTTTTAAAGCTTAAATTCTTTTATATGTTGACTACATATAAACACTAGACTTTGAGGTAAAAATGATAATATGCTTCGGTAAACATTTCAAAAAATATGTATGCTCAATAGTTCTTTAAACAGTTGAGCATCATTTATGTGACTAGAATATAAGTATTATATATTCTTACAGAAGAATGCCGAAGAAAACTTTTATCTTGAGAATATCTTATTTTTAAAATATGTGCTTTGAAAATATATACCCTCTAAAGTATATCTAAATATATTATTTATTATACTTAAGTATAATTAGAACAGAATTAGTTCTTATTTGGACTGTCCTTTCAACTCTCCATCAATATTAATGAACAACTGTTGCAGTCTTCCAAATAATATATTTTGTCGTCCTTGATAATTCCTTACTTCTGTTGTAAATTTATAAATGTGCCTCTGTATATTTTGCTACTAGTTTTATTCCAAAGCTGTTCTTTTTACTCTTACTATTTGTACTGTTCTTAATGTTGATAATATGCTAAAGACCATTAGAAATTACTAACCAATGCCTGATTTAATAGATTATATTAACATGGTTTTTAAGATATATTTGCTTAAAAGTCGAGCACAGACACATAATCATGTAGCAAATTCTTTTATGAAGATAATTATAAGCAAAGACCAGCTTTACTTCATCCTTTAAAACTTACCAGTTATTTCATATATGTAAGTTTTTTGATAGCTTAGTAAAAATTAAATACCTGCTCATAGAGACACTGGCAAGATCATTAAATGTCTTAATTTTCTGAATATATTAAATAATTATTCGTTGAACACCTACTGCATGTATAGCTTTGCACTAGGTACCTTGTACATAAAAGAAGAATCAACCAGTACTTCTCAAATATTAATGTGCACAAAAATCACCTGGGGATCTTGTTAAAATGCAAAGTCTGACCAGTAGGTCTGGGGTGAGGCTTGAGATTCTGCAGTTCTCTCAAGCTCCCAGGTACTGCTTGCTGATGCTGCTTATTTGCAGACCATGCTTTGAGTGACAAGAAATAGACATTATATCTGCTCCCAGGACAGAATAAGACATGTATACACATAACAGTTACAGGGAGTAGTCAACTGATTTTCACAGCAAATAATCAGATTGTGCTATACAGTCAGCAGATTGATGTTAATTATGTGTTATAGGTAGTGTAAAAAGAGGGAGAAAATGGAGTTCGCTAGAGTCACATAAAAGAAAATGCAACTGAAATGAGCTTTAAGGGCAGAGTAGGAGATAAAGGCAATAGAGATGGCATTCTAGTCAAAAGAAACAGGATGAGTAAAGAACATGGAAGAAAATAAAAATAAGACTAGTTAGTATTAAGAAAAATGGGAAATAAGGGTAGGCTTAAATTATGAGAGCATGAAGCTTTTAGACTTTGTCATTTTATGTCTTATTACAGTAGTCATTTGGGAACCATTGTAATTTACTGAGCGAGCATGTGTTATAGAAATATTAATATGAAAAATGTAGCAGAACTAGAGTCAGGACAACTGGGAAGGAAGAAAATGTGACAATAGTGGATAGTGATGATAAGAGCTGGACTGAGGCTGAAATATGTATAATGTTACTTTGTTTATACAGATTTCATTTAGCTTATACGGATTTCATTTAGCTTGAGTCAAGTTTTAATAAAATTGAGAACTCACTATATTAAATCTATTTTTAATTATTGAGCAGGCTCATGAGATCCTGCATTCTCTCATGGTTCTCATGAGTCTCATTTATTAATTTACATTTGTTACAGCTTTTACTACATGACTGTAGGAATTTGTAATGAACTTGCCATCCAAGAGAATGCTGAAACAAATGGCTTATCAAAGGTCTTTCCAACCCTATAAAAATAATGAAAATAGTACCATTTGAGTACTAGTAAATAGAATTGTGTATTTAAATCCCAATTTCTCCAAAATTTAAAACACCATTTACTATGTATTTCTTTTGTTAATGTTACAGTATTCAGAGCTGAAGACTCTAATACCCACAGACATCTAACTGAATTTGTTGGTTTGGACATTGAAATGGCTTTTAATTACCATTACCATGAGGTTGTGGAAGAAATTGCTGACACCTTAGTACAGATATTCAAAGGACTTCAAGAAAGGTAAAATATATATATATTTCATATCTCTAAATGGACTTAAGAATCAGTTTGAGTTCTTCAAAATAAAGTAATTCTTGAGTTGAAACATGTAAACTAAGTTTTTATTGAACTTATACGTACATATAAAGACTTGATAGTTAGATAATCAGTTAATTAGTGAAAAAAAGTCCAAACTCAAAATACTGTTCTGTATCCAGGTCAATTGGGACTTCAGCTAGTTAACCTCATTTTGGTAGGGAAGTTTACCAGATTGTGAACAGCCTACCTATATTCATATTTTCCTTTATACTGACGACCTGAATTGCCCAAGAAATAGAGCCAATATCACTTTTATAGCAGTTTATTGTTTGGGAGTTAGTATGAGGTAGTGATTAAGAGCTTGGATTCAGCTAGATCCAGGTAGCCTAAATTCAAATCCAAGCTCTGCTACCTATCTGTGGGCCTTGTGCAAGTTATTTAACTGTGTCTCAGTTTCCTTTGCTATTATAAGTGAAGTGAAGGTAGTATTATTACTTTACCTCAGAGGTAAAGAAAGGTTCCTTTAGTACACTTGTTTCTAATCTTCACTGACTTTGTCTGTGTAAATTTAGCCTATGTCAGGAATGGTTAATTCTTAGATCAATTTATATTTCCATTGAGTGCCCAATAATGGTTAAAAACTAGTACACTAAAGGGACGTTTGACTTATTTGGGCCTGGTGAATTGAAAGCATTTACAGAACATTATTAGACATGTCCTTGATGTTCAGAAATTGAATTACGTAGAATCTTCAAGGTACACCCTCTAAACTGGCAAACATTTTCTCCCTTTTTAAAGGTCATTGAAAGTTTTTTACTTGTGAATGTTTAACAGAGAAAATAAGAAAAGAAAATGGAAAGCAAGTTAAGTAGAATCGAGTCGTTTTCCTTTCTTCATAGTTGTGACAGTACTTCAATATTAAGTAGGCTATAAGAGACTTATCTAGTGCTTTGATAACTGACAAAGTACTGTATTTGAAATTTTTATTTGAAGACCACCGATTTAACTATTAATTGATATATTTGAATATGCTTCATTGATACCTAAAAAGAGTGTAAAAATGTTATGAATCCATTTGCTCCATTGCAGGTCTAATGAGTAATTTAAAGAACACAGAAATTAATTATTGATCTTAACAAATATTATAGCATATACACCAATATTTTCCAGGCATTCTCTACATTGCGTTGTACCTTTAATGACTAGTCAGTTGTACACAGCCTTTAAAAAAACATCTTTGTTCTCCGAAACATTTCAATACAGTTCATTTTAAGCAACTTTCATTCAGACATAATCTATAGTCCACCTAATATTTCCTTATAAAACAAGCTAACCTTTGAAACTACAATAAATAGAGCTTTTCTCATTTTTTCACATTTATAATTCATGAAAGTTTCTGAAGCCTGTTTATTTTAGGTGTTGATATCTTCTCTATTTAATATTGGAATATGAAATTGCCACTTTGGTTTTTGTAACAACAGACCAACCATGAATCGGGCCTTTGGGATTAATCATATCTCTACTAACAAATTAGAGACTCAGATACCATCATCACTGGACTTCTTCAGTAGACTTAAGGGGCAACTTGGAAATAAAAGCCTTCTTTCTGTATCTATAAGTCATTTAGGAATTTCAAGTTTTTGTGTCAGTTGTAAATTGGGTTACCTGGCTTGTCCCTTCATATTTTTCATTAATATTTATCTCATAGAAGAATACAAATGTATTTTAAGATATTGAGTCATATTTTTATATTACCATTGATAAACATAAATAAAGTTAATGTCCAAAACAAAGAAAAGCAATTTAAAAATCAATTATTGGGGTCATCTTAACTCATATCAAGATTTGAATAAATCAATGGCCAGCCTTTATTGCACCTATGAAAGTCTTTAAGACAAATCGGGAATTGATAGTATTTTAACTTCTACTCTTTTCATAGAATGTAAACATACTTTTTACTATTAATTATGGAAAATTTTAAAACATAAAAGTAGACTAATGAACCTCGTGTACTCATCACCCAATTTCAACCATTGTCATTCCATGACCAATTTTGTTTTATCCATTTCTACCACCCCCTATTATTTCAAAACAAATCTCAACTATCATTTCATCCATAAATATACTTTTTAATCTTAATAAAATATTATCCTCCAATTCCGTGTAGTAAACATTTGTCTTATGCCTATTGTTTAGAGGCTAGACACTATTCTAATTATTAAAATGGGAAATAATTTGGCACTCTCTTGAAAAAAACTTACAGTATAATGGGAATGGGGGGAGATAAGACAAGTATTCATTAATTTGGTCTTCCTTAATGATAACAAGAGTTATTAAAGAATTAAAAAGTCAAAATTTTTAATGCCTAATAAAATGGCTATTTTATGTTTCTAACAGTGTTAGCCGATATGAGATAAACTTTTAATCCATCAGCGCCACCATGGTGACAAACAATGTAAGACTGAAAGATGGTATTAAATATTTTAAATGTTTAAATTTCATTCTTTAACTTAAACAATTTCTTGATAACACTTTTTCTTGGTAGATACACTGATTCAAAGATGATTTTTTGTGACAAAGTATCTGGTAGGTACTCAATACCTACCAGATATTTTTTCTTCGTTGTTGGTGCTACTACTGACAAGCCTAAAGTCCCTGAGACAAATATGCACTGAGGCTGAATTTTACACAGCAAACTTTGCTCTAAAAGCATTTCCTTTTGAGTTACTCTGAATTTCAAATTGTTATCAGTGGAACACAAAACTAATAGTATATACAGTAGGCTCTTGGGTCCCTGTCAGCTGGCCACTTAGGAAGATATCTGGACAGCTAGGAGGCTCTGTGAGGCTGAGTAGTTCAGCTGGGAAGGAACTTAGCTGGCTATGGAGCTTCCACCCCTGAAACTCCCAGGTTACCCTTTCTTCATCTTCGCACACATAGTGACTACTGTGAAATGGTAAAAATGTTGTTTCTTTGTTAAAAGGAAAAAATGTGTAGTGTCAAGTGAGTGGAAGAGTAAAAGCTCTACGTGCTCCTTATTTTGCCAGTAATAGTAAAATTTTTTTAATCATTTTTATGTTTTGCCACAGTGACCTCTTGTGGAGAAAACATATATCTCACACATTTTTATTAACTAAATTATTATTCAAATAGGTTTCAAACTGAAATTCAGACGGTAAATAAACAATTCCCCTGTGAACCATTCAAATTTTTGGAGCCAACTTTAAGACTAGAGTATTGTGAAGCATTGGCTATGCTTAGAGAAGCTGGAATTGAAATGGGAGATGAAGAAGATCTGAGGTTTGTCTTTGTGATTTTTAAAACTTGAGTAATTAGGTTTAGGATATGAAAGAATAAATATATTCATGAGTGATTATTTTTTTCACCCAGCTGATAAACTTTAGTTTTATTAATTTTTTTGTATATGGTATGATGCTGTTTTATTTAATGTGTGATCTGAAATAAAATGTTATGATTTAATGTGGTTTGCCTGAGCTTCATTAGTTTTATTTATAAACGCTAATGTTTGTTTCCTCCTACCATATTTGTAATGCTTTAAGAATATAAGGACTTTTGCCTGTGATTTTATCATCTAATATATTACCTCTCTCAATCAGTGGTAGAGAAAGTAAACAGCAGTCTAAATCCGTCCCCATACAGGATTAAGCATAAAAATGTTAAGCTTTCCAAAAGTTACAAAAATCGTTGTTATTTAGGTGATATAAATTCAGATCATACAACTTATAATTTTGAAGCAAATTATGTAGTTTAATATAAATGTGAAATAACCGTCTAATATTTTATTCAAGAGATTGTAAAGTATTTAAGACATCACAACAATTTATATA